AGTCCATGAAATAAATATGCCAAAATCTATGCATAAATTTTATTGTTGGACATTTGGAATATTTATAGTTTGAGCTACATAGATTTGCAATGAATATTCTTTAACATATATGTGAGTTTGTATAATTATAAATCTTTTGGGGGCATATAGATACAAATAAAATAGAATGGTCACTGGCTATGCATGTATTTTAATTTGTTAGATAATGATAAACAGTTTTCCAAAGTGGTTATATAAATGCATATATCCACTGTTCATGAATTAGAGTTTCACTTGCTCTACATCTTTGCTTATATTGCTATTATTTTTTTTTAATTTGTCATTCAATTCAGAGGGTCAGTCCACTGGAAAATATGTAGCAATTTTAACATGCATGCCCCAAATAACAGTTTCCAAATACACAGCCATATTTTATAGAATAAAACTGAAAATAGATAAAACCATCATCACAGTGGGAAATTTTAAAACATCACACTCAGCAATGGTTAGAACAAGAAAATAATAAAAACATTTCATCTCCAGATGATTCAATAAACAGAATTTACAAAAGTGACCCAATTTGCATATTTAAATAGTTGTAAATAACTTTTTAATAACTGTTGTTTTCAAATGCACATTACACTTCTACCCAAACTAACCATGTCTAAGGCTATCAAAAATATCTGCAGAAATTTTAAAATATTAAAATCATTCAAGGTATATTTTGTGGCTACAGTGGAAGTAAGCCTAAAATCAATAATGTAATAAAAAAGTTTAACTATTTAGAAATTTAGCAAAATACATCAAAGCAATTTATCAAATTAGAAATCAATGATCATACAGCATATCAAAACTTGTGGAATGCAGCAAATCTGTGTGGAGAAGAAAATATATATTCAAAAATTTATAGATAGAAAAGAAGGTAAGTCAAAAATCAATAACCAAATATTTATATCAAGAAGTGAGTAAAAGGACATATTATTGTATACCAAAAATGTAGAGGTTAGAAAACAAAAGAGTATTTATTAAATACAAAATAAGCTATAGAAGTTATTTTATTAACAAACCCAAAAGTGGGTTTTTTGAAAGATTAACATCTGATAGACATTTAACCAAATTGAGCAAAATTAAAATACATAAATAACTAAAGACACAAATTTAAAATACAAGGGATAAAAAAAGTGCTATCACTAGATATTTTACAAATGTTTTAAAGATTTTTGAATAATATAATGAAAACTTTTAAAATATAAATAAAATTTTGCATAAAATTGACTAATTCCTAGAAAAACACGAATTATCAGAATTGACACAAGACAAAATAGAAATATATAAATAGCACTGTATCTATTAAATACAATAAATTGGCAAATAAATGTTTCCCCACAAAATATCTTTTGTGCCAGATGTATTCACTTGTTAATTTTTCCAAACTTTTAATAAAATGTGACACCAATTGTAAACAACTTTCTTGGAGAAACCCAAAAGGATAGAAGGAAAGTGAGAGAAGTTGGGGAAAGAGAATAATGAGGTCAGGGTAACTTTGTGAATAACAACAGGAAGGGAAACTTAGGGGATAATCACTTTCATAAACATAAATTCAATAATTCTGAAAAATAACAAATTGAATAAAGTGATATTTTTAAAGGTATAATACATCATTAACAAGTTGGTATTATTTTATCATACAGGGCAGACTTCACATTTTAATAACAATTACTGTCTTTTATCACATTAAGAGAATAAAATAGTAAGTCATATTCATAGATACAATGCAGAATAAGGATTTCAGAAAATTTTGCAATCATTCAATGTAAAAAAAAAAAAAACTATGGAAAGCAAGGAATATAAGGAATTTATTTCATCTGACAAGTAGTATAGACTTAAAATCTACAGCAAATATAAAATTTAATTGGTAAAATATGACATTTCCCTATTTCCCCTCTCATGATTAAAAAGGAGATAAAAATGCCCATTCTCACTTTCATTCAAAATGAAATACTGGCTATCTTATCCAATGTACTATGAAAAAATAAAGCTCATTATTTATAGACAATATGAATATGAACATAAAAAATTAGAAATATTTATGTGACAAATTGAAATATAAATAATATAGCAATGTCTCTGAATTAAGATAAATTATAAAAACATCCATATGGATAAAACCAAAATGTTTTCCTATATTTCACCATACACAAAAATTCCAACTAGATCACATACTTAAATTTAAAATAAAAAGTATTCTAAAATAAAAATGTAGAAGTATTTCTTCATACATTTGAGACAGCAAAGATTACTTAAACAGTACATAAACTGTTATCCAAATTGGAACAATTGATGTAGTACATTAAAATCAAGAATTTCTCTCCCTTTTACATGCACTTAAAATATAGAAATTTATAGAGTAGTAGTTTATATCATAATTAAATATATTCAATATAAAAGTTATTTCCAGGCTGGGCGCGGTGGCTCAAGCCTGTAATCCCAGCACTTTGGGAGGCCGAGACGGGCGGATCACGAGGTCAGGAGATCGAGACCATCCTGGTTAACACAGTGAAACCCCATCTCTACTAAAAAAAATACAAAAAAACTAGCCGGGCGAGGTGGCGGGCGCCTGTAGTCCCAGCTACCCGGGAGGCTGAGGCAGGAGAATGGCGTAAACCTGGGAGGCGGAGCTTGCAGTGAGCTGAGATCCGGCCACTGCACTCCAGCCTGGGCGACAGAGCGAGACTCCGTCTCAAAAAAAAAAAAAAAACCAAAAAAAAAAAGTTATTTCCAGAACTAATAAAAACCTTTAAAACTCCACAGGAAAATCCAGTAGAAAAAGGGATGAAAATCATTTAAATAGAGACTTTTTAAAGTGGATATTCAAATGACCAATAAAGCTATCAAAAAGTGCTCAACTCCATTAGTCATCACAAAAATGTGTATAAAAGCCACAGTGACATATCACCACAAACAACCAAGAATGGCTAGAAATAAAAATAATGATAAATGTTGGCAAAGGTATAGATTTTCTCTAATTGTCTTTTACACTGGTAGGAGTAGAAATTGTTTATATACATTTTGGAAAGTCATTTGGCAATATATTTTAAAGCTGAACATATGAATAATCTATGATCTAACAATTCTACTTTTGGGTGCAAAATAGATAGACTGTTTATAATTCACATTCTATGTGAAATTTCTGTTAAGATTTACTGCTATTAACTCACTCTTTCTCCGAATAATCTTTCCACTTCATTTTCCTTATTTCTCTTCCCTCCTATTTTTTTCAATCTTGATGATCATTCCTTGATAGTATTTCTCTTTGTTGGGAGATTATGTCCTATGGGTATCACATGTTTCTGTCTATCTTATGAGTACAGGAATTACTGCCTTTGTTCCATCCTACCTTTCAAAAAATGTGTAGTAAAAACCTTTAAAGATAAAATGTTTCCCTCTGGAGCAAAGGGTATCTTTTCTTAAAGCATTGGAACATATATTTTCTCCCTTAGAAGCATAAGACGGACAAGCTTATGGGCCATAGTATAATACTGAGGTCTCCTAAACTCGCAATTCTTCTCCTGTAATGAACCCACTATATGTGCCAGTATCATCTAGCACATGTCACATGGCTATATGAGAATGCGGGGTAGGATAACTGATGCCAATGCTCATGTTGTAGCTATAGTTATTGTCATGAGCAATACAGTTCTATGTCTCTGAATCAGAAGTGTCATGGATTCTGAGAGCATTCACAAAACTGGCCGACTTAGTTAGCTTGTTAGGTAGAATAAAATTTCAGACCCTGACATCATTTGGATTTGTGTCCCCATGCAAATCTTACGTCAAACTGGAGGAGGATCCTGATGGGAGGTGACTGAATCATGGGGGTGGATTTCCCCCTTGCTGTTCTTGTGATAGTGAGTGAATTCTCATAAGATTTGATGATTTAAAAGTGTGTGGCACTTCCCCCTTCACTCTCTCTCTCCTGCTCTGCCATAGTTAGATTTGCTTGCTTCTCCTTTACATTCTACCATGAATATAAGTTTCTATGAAGCCCACAGAACTGAGACAATTAAATCTCTTTTCTTCATAAACGACTCAGTTTCAGGTAGTTCTTTATAGGAGTGTGAGAAGAGACTAATACAGAAAAATTGTACCAAAAGTGGGGTACTGCTTTAAAGATACTTGAAAATGTGGAAATGACTTTGGAACTGGGTAACAGGAGAGATGGGAACAGTTTGGAGGGATAAGGAGAAGACAGGAATATGTGGGAAAATTGGGAACTTCCTGAGAACTTGTTGAATGATTTTGACTAGAATAGTTATAGTGATATTAACAGTGATGTCTGGGCTGAGGTGGTCTCAGATAGTGATGAGAAACTTACTGGGAACTGAAGTAAAGGTCACACTTGCTATGCTTTAGCAAAGAGACTATAGTATTTTGCCCCTGTCCTAGAGATCTGTGGAATTTTGAACTTCAGTGAGATGATTTAAGGTATCATGTGGAAAAAATTTCTAATCAGCAAAGCACTCAAGGTGTGACCTGGCTGTTTCTGAAGGTATATGCTTATATGTATGAAAAAACAGATTATCTGAAACTAAAACTAATATTTAAAAGGAATATTAGCATAAAAGATTGGAAAATTTGCAGCCTGACCATGTGGTAAAAAAGAAAAAAAAAAAAAAAGAAAACATTTTGTGGAGCGAAATTCAAGCCAGCTGCAGAAATTTGCATAAGTAAACAGGTGTGGAATGTTAATATCCAAGACAATGGGGAAGAATGTCTCCAGGCAATTTCAGAGACCTTCATGATAGGTTGTCCCATCACAGGCCTGGAGGCCTAGGAGGAAAAAATAATTTTGTGAGCCAGACCCAGGGCCCAGCTGCTCTGTGCACCCTTGGGACATGGTATCCTGCATCCCAGCCACTCCAGCTCCAGCTTGTGGCTAAAAGGGAATAAAGTACAGTTTGTACCATTGTTTCAGAGAGTGCAAGTTCCAAGCCTTGGTGACTTCCACATGGTGTTGGGTCTGTGGATGTGCAGAAGTCGAATTGAGGCTTGGGAATGTCTGCCTAGATTTCAGAAGATGTATGGAAACACCTGGATGTCCAGAGAGAAGTCTGCTGCATGGAAAGAGCCCTCATAGAGAACCTCTACTAGGGCACTGCAGAGGGGAGATATGGGAGCCCCTACACAGAGTCCCCACTGGGGCACTGCCTAGTGGAGCTCTGAGGATAGGGCCATCATCCTCCAGAACCCAGAATGGTACATCCACCGACAGCTTGCACTGTTCACCTGGAAAAGCTGCAGACACTCAATGTCAGTGCAGGAAAGCAGTCTTGGGGACTGTACCTTGCAGAGCCAAAGGGGTAGAGATGCCCAACATCTTGGGAGTCCACCTCTTGCATCAGCATGGCCGGGTATGATGTGTGGAGTCAAAGAATATCATCTTGAAGCTTTAAGATTTAATGACTGCTCTGCTGAGTTTCAAACTTGCATGGAGCCTGTAGCACCTTTGTTTTGGTTGATTTCTCTATCTTGGCATGCAAGCATTTACCAGATGCTTGTACTCACATTATGTTTGGGACATAATTAACTTGTTTTTGATTTTAGAGGCTCATAGTTGGAAGGGACTTACCTTGTCTTAGATGAGACTTTGGACTGTGGACTTTTGAGTCAATGCTGAAATGAGATAAGACTAGGGGACTGTTAAGAAGGGATCATTGTATTCTGCAATGCAAGAAGGACATGGGATTTGGGAAAGACTGGGATAGAATAATATGATTTAGGCTTGGGTTCCCACCAAAATCTCATGTCAAATTAGAGGAGGGACCAGATGGGAGGAGACTGGATCATGGGGGCAGAATTCACCCTTACTGTTCTTGTGATAGTGAGTGAGTTCTCATGAGATCTGATGGTTTAAAAGTGTCTGGCACTTCCCTCTTTGCTCTCTCTTTCTCCTGCTCTGCCATCTGAGAATGTGCCTGCTTCCTCTTTGCTTTCCACCATCATAGTAAGTTTCCTGAGGCCTTCCAGTTATGCTTCCTGTGAAGCCCGTGGAACTGTGAGTCAATTAAGCCTGTTTTCTTCATAAATTGGCCAATCCTAGGTAGTTCTTTATAGCAGTGTGGAAATGGAATAATACATGTCCTTTATAGATTTTAACTCTTAAGCTCTTCTAAACCCAAAATTAAATGTTTTGTGCCCCATAACTTTATTCTTAGACTTCTTATACTATAGTTTAATCTACACCAATGCCTTATCATGTATCACATTAATCTAAACATATTGTTTATTTTTTACATTTAGCTCCAAATATCCAACTTCTGTAGTGAATCTTTATTTGATAGTCCCTCTGGCATCTCAAATTCAGAATATCCCTTTGTGAAACCTTCATATTTTCATACAAATTTGCTCCTCTTTTCATATTCTATATTATAGTGGTTACCAACATCCACAATATCATTCAGAGATGAATTCTACGAGCTTTCCTTAATGTATTATTTTCTGTTACTCCCCATGAAGCTTCAAATACTTTTCAATGTTTTCTTTCCATGTCTTAAATCAATCATTTGTTCTCCACTTTCATGGTCACTAACTTTGTTCATGCAATAATTCTTGCATGTTCGTCACTGCTGTACTCGTTTTAATTATATTACTGTCGTTCTTGTTTCTCATCCACTCTGTCATACCTTTTTCTGATAGAATAATTGTTAGAAAATGTGCTCAGAACAACATATCAACTAGTTATAACTATTTTGAAAAGACATGAATTATTCTATGTCTTTTAATAGAGCCTGAAAATAACAACATGTGGGAGTATTTTAGCATGGCTTATAATTTATGTTCAAAATAATGACTAATATTCATAAAAAACGTTGTTACATACACTAATTTATCTGCTTCAAAAAGTATAAAAGTGAGAAAAATTTTAATATTATAATTTAATCACACAGGCACGCTCACACACACCACCCAAAAGTGATTGAGTTTATTTAGAAAATCCACTAATTTGGAAGGTCAATTTCTCTGCAGTGCCACATAAACAGGATGTGGTTATACTTTAATATCTGAAGAAATTATAAACACATTAAGAATAGCATTGTCAAATAAGTCAGCAGTGAGAAAGATATAAAATATTCTCTTAATTGAAAGTGTTAATACATATGGTGTAATGACATTTAAGAAAAGTAAAAACAAATACAAATTGTTCATTGATGTCTTTCTATACCACAAATGTCAGGGAACCTAAAATATTGGTTTCACAATTTTTAGGGATCTATCTTAAGTGTTTATCTTTTGAATACAAAAGATAGAAATTATGTTAGTTTTTGATTTCTAACTATAACAAGTTACCATACACTTAGTGGATTAAAACAATATAAATTTATGATTTTATAGTTTTGGAAGTCAGATGTCTGAAATGAGTCCCACTGGGCTAAAAGTAAGGTGTCAACAGGGCTATGTTCCTTTCTGGTATCTTTAGAAGACAATCTATTTTCTTGCCCTTTCAAACATCTAGAGGCTATCCAATTTATTTTACTCATGGCCTCCTTCCATCTTCAAAGCCAGACACAAGTCAAGTTTTTTTCTCTTTTTTTTTTTTTTTTTTACATTGTACCACTCTGACCTTCTTTTCTGCTTTTCTCTTTCACTTTTAAGCACCCTTGTGATTACATTGTACCTACCCAGATAATTCCAGATAATCTTTTTTTAAGGCCAACTGATTAGCAGACTTAACTCCATCTGTAATCTTATTTTTTCCCATATAATATAACATTTATAATTTCTAGACTTGAGGACTTTAGGATATTTGAGGGACAATTATTCTTCCTACCCAGAGATATCTTTAGTTTTTGTTATAAATGTAACATACCATATTAACATTTAAAAATCCACTCTCAAAAGTAATTTACCTTTTAGTTGCTGTCTCTCTTTTTCTCCTTTCTTTTCTTCCTCATTCCCTTTCTCTATCCACACAACTGTAAATATTACCAGAGGATATTTCAAAACATTTATTTTAGAAGTATTATCAGCCAACTAACTATGGTCTTTTCTGAGCCATTATATATTACTTTGTGTGGTAATGATTTTTGAATATATTTGCTTTCTTCATTAGATTGTGTGCATCACACACTTCAGCCTTCTCTTAGTCTCATGCTTCTAAATGTAATGTGCTGCCAACAGATGGAGCACAAGATGAATGTGGTTTGAGTGTATAGAAGACTTTACAGATTAATAGAGGCCTTGACTCGTTAAGAAGTTTGCCTAAGGTCACCAAGAATACTCTTTGTCTTCTGTCTATTAACACGCCTCCTCAGTATTAAAAAGACAATGTGAAATGTATTCATTCAAAAGTATTTGTTGAGCATTGTGCATATAACAGGTATTTTTTGTAAGCACTAAAACTACTTTAGCAATCAAAATTGACAAAATCCCTTGCTGTCACAGAAATCATGTCCTATTGTCTAGAGAGTTTCAATAAATAAAATAATCAAAGTATTAAGTGCTAGGAAAAATATTGAGCAGGGTGAGAGGTATGGAGAGACCGTGGAGATAATATTAAGTAGAGTGAAGTTTACAGTATTAAATAGCATAGTCACAGTAGACCTCACTAGAAAAGTAGGCTGCCTACATATCTTTATTAATCTTGTTAATGAGTGGGTAGAGGTATAGGGCAAATAAAACACAGTCAAGGACAAATACAACAATTTCTAGTTTTACTCTCTGGGCATAACAGGAATAAGGAGGATAGAATGCGATGGTGATGGTTGATAGAAAAGATGAGAATCTTGAAAACCTTTAGAGAGGTTGTGTTACATTTATATGCCTCATTTATACATTAAGGACAAATGAAGGATGCCATTTTTCCATTATCCTGGAATCACTGGACATTAAAAAATATAGGAATTTTCTAACAGTGGAACAGCTCCAATTAGAGATCAATAACCCTTGTACAAGTGAGCCTAAGATAAAATGTCATATTACTGACAGTATTTAAGCAAAGACAAATGGGCTTCTTCCTCGGGGTCTAAAAACACTTTCATCGATGCAGCACATGGGATGGAGACTAGCTATAAAGATAACTTGTTGGTTCTTAGAATAACAATTTATGGTCATATGTGAATTGATGAGATGAGTCTTTTCTCCTGTGTATTTTTTCAACTTGTTTTTTTCTATCTTTCAAATAGTGTGTTTTCTAACTCATTCATTCATTAAGATTTTAATCAAAATAATATAGAGATCAAATTAAGATATCAAATACTACTATAAGGCCTATACCTAAAAACATCAGTATACAATGTCACCCATATGCAATGCTTGGTTCTTTTTCCCAGAGTTGATTATTTTCATCAAATATAGCTATTTCCCTTGATGTTTGTTTTTACATACCTAAATACCTTCACTCTGCTATTTCTTGGTTTATCAATTTTCAGTACTCTCTATTAACTTCTCATTTCTTTGGTAAAGACATTATTCTCAAGTGTCTCCTCCCACTAATATTTATGCTACCAATATACTGATATCACAATTTTTAAAAATGTAATGTTTGCTGAGGCAAGTATTTCACAATTCTTACATTCTTTTTCCTGTAAAAGGTTTTGTGTTTTCTTTGGTTAATAGCTGCCCTGATTGTGTTCATTTGTTTCCATTGTTTTGAACATGATCAATCAATTCTGAAAAATTTCTATTACTATTATGTTCCAGATCACCAAAACATTATATAATATGAATTGAAGCTTCATTTCAAAGAGATATAATTTATTCTGCTCTTCTTCTTTCTAAATCAATCTATACTGTTGTTTCTCGGCAATGAAAATAGTTGGATTTCACTTTTCCTCTGTAACATTCCCTGTATTCTGAAGGTTGTGCCTTCCTCTTCCCAGAGCGAAGACTGTATTTTTGGCTTCCCTACTTTTGAGGTTTTGGAATCAGATTGACTTCCTTGCTCTTCAGCTTGCAGAAGGCCTACTATGAGACTTCACCTTGTGATCATGTGAGTCAATACTGCTTGATAAACTCCCCTTTGCGTGTATACATACATATATGTACATATATATATATATCTCCTATTAGTTCTGTTCCTCTAGAGAAACCTGACTAATGAAGACCCTTCCTCCTGGCAAGTGTATTCCAAAGTTAACCTGAGAAACTAGTTAAGTCCATGATACAAAAAGTGTGATGTACATTCCTAATTATACCCTCCTCCTCCCTTTTGGAATTACTGATAGAGAAGACTCTTTAAGTCAGATAAAAAAAATTATAATTTATTATCTCTGAAGACTGCCACCTGGAGATTTCATGTGCATGATAAAACCTTGGTCTCCACAACCCTTATTGTAACCCAGACATTCCTTTATATTGATAATAATTCTTCCAACTTATTGCCAATCAGAAAATCTTTAAATCTGCCTATTACCTGGAAACCTCCCTTCTAGCGGTCCCATTTTCTCAGGCTGAAGCAATGTACATTTTACATGTATTGATTGATGTCTCATGTCTCTCTAAAATATATAAAACCATGCTGTACCCTGACTACTCTGGACACATGTTGTAGGGACCCTCTGAGGCTGTGTCATGGGTGTGTTCTTAACCTTGGCAAAATAGACTTTCTAAATTTATTGAGACCTGCCTCAGTTACTTTGGTTTACAAATTGGTAAACGAAAAGAGATTCTGAGCTACAATGTTAGCAGTGACTGAGGAAAGTTTACATGGAGTGGTCTTAGCTTTCAATTATTTATTATTATTTTTAATTTTCCTCCTAGGAAGCTGTTTAGGATCCAAATTATAGTTTAGTAGTGCATTCCAAAGGGTCTCCGCCATTGCCATATCTCCCCAAATTAATCTCAATCAGCTTGTCTATGAATTTGCATAAGGAAGTGAACTATCATTCTCATAGATAAATTATATATTGAGCTCCTTGGCTCCAAAGCACACAAGCATTTTGCTCCTCCCAGGCAAAAGCCACCCTTGGGTGACTAAACGCTGATTGGGACTGTCTGGGGGTTGACCTCCCAAATTGTACAGTGGCTCTATAGGGATTCCCCAACAAAATTAGTTTAAAAAAGCTCATCCAGGAAAGGCATATAAGAACTGATTAATCAGTGTTTTGAACCCTTTCATAGGTGATAGACCTCCAGAGAGAGAAGCTGAGACATGTAAGAGAGTGTAAACAATTGAGTGGTGGCGCCGTGGAGTCCTACTAACAATTAGCACGTTTCGATCCACCACACTAAAAACCCTAAGCCAAAGCTGAGTTCCACATTTTAAGAAAAAAATTGGGGAAACAAATCATCTAAGAATGAGGAAAGACAAAGAGAAAGACCCTTTTTCAAGCACCCTGTTTGGTTTTATGGTGCCTTTACTTGCAAGTGTTTGTGTAAATAAAAGAGTATGCCAGGTTTTCTAGTAATCCAGCTGGTTACCCATTTGGTCTGTTCTTGTGCACATTTTAAACTGCTGGGCAAATTACATGAAGGGAAGTTCAGAGCCCAAAGTTTGATTTGCAATGGTAAAGTTCGTAAGTTTTGTGTCTATTTCTATGTTTTATTTTCTGCCTGCTATATGTTTGCTGTTAATTTTCTACTGGTGTCAAGGTGAAAAACAAAAAACATCACTTGCA